CCCCAAAACCCCAAAACCCCAAAACCCCAAAACCCCAGGTGGAGGGGAGGGGATTGAAGTGTAGTAAAATGGGTGTTTATAGGGGAAAATAGTCGTTTTTAGGGCTTCTAAATGGCCGAGACCTTCTAGCAATGGTAGTTCCTGTCCTATATGTCTAGATTTTATTTTAAATGTCTTCTATTAAATCATATTTTATGGACACAAAACCATAATGCTTTAGTAAGAAATTTGGGATTTGAACTGGGCTGCGGATTTTAGTGCAAAGATATTTTAGGAGCTGAGATTGTTACAGAATCTTTTGATTGTCAATCTCCACTTGTTGTTGCACTAGCACTTTGGAGTAATTGGAGAAGTTTGGTTCGAAACCTACCGAGAGCAAGGATTTGTCCAGGTCAAGAGTTTTGATGAACTTTAGAATCTGTATAGCAACAGGGTTTTCATAATTTAGATAATTTCCATCATTATCTAGGCAGTTGTTGAAGATCAGCTTTTGTATCTTCGGATAAGGAAGTGGACAATGCGATTTTGATACTTCATTGAGAATGCATTTGTAGAACTTAACTTTTCTGGTGTTTCTCAGGAAAACCAATACTCTGATCAAATTCTTCTCAGAAAAAGTCATTGTACTACATAACGATTAATGACCAATTTAGATTTCCAAATGAAAATTGAAAGTTCAGAGAAATAAATTTACAAACCTGAAACTACACTTGAGAGTGACATTTTCAAAAATGTTTTGTCTTGGAATAAACAACTGCCTCAATGGAAACTTCCTCTTTTTATTTGAATGACATATTTCTAAGATATCAACTTCAGATCTTTTTAACTTTCACAAAACCCTGGCTAGATCTTTCTGAGTGTTATATCTAGTATTTCCAAAGCTGAGTTCATAGCAACTGCGAGTAGGAGGAGCAATTTTATAGAACTTCTGATTCAGTGCAGAATAATCACCCTATATCATCACTAAGTTCTCAAATATGAGCATTAATTTTAATCAGATTGTGAAATATCTTCTCTCATCAACTAAATATAAACTCTACAAACTCAGAGGCTTTTAAATGACCTCTCCAGCACTAATTTCTCAAAACGACCCAAATAAGACCTATACCTAGACTACCACCTAATATACACTCTCAACTCATCCAAATCTTCCAATCCAGCCCCAAAACCCCTAATTCTGCCTTCTAATCTTCTATCACAAAAATATATTGTCTAGTTTAAACTGTTTAAGATATTTACCAGATGCCAATAGTAATCTTTAGCGTTATACCAAGTCATAGGATTGTTTTCTGAGATAATATGATGGAAAATTTTTAGTTCCCAATTTTCGTCCTTGAGAATATGGCCTTCACTTGGTTCGCGGAATCTTTTCCTTCTCATTTTAATATTCAATTATATTTCTCAGTTATGGGGTTTTGGGGTTTTGGGGTTTTGGGG